CCAGATTTGGCCTGCAGGCCATAATTTGGTGAATGGAAGATTGTTTCAAGATAAAGCCCAGAAAACAGCCACTGGGCCAGGCACTGTGGCTTACACCTTACAGGCACTTTGGGAGGCAGATCACCTGAGGTCAGAAGTTTGCCTGACCAACATGGTAAAAACCCATCTCCATTAAAAATGCAAAAAATTAGCTAGGCGTGGTGGCATGTGCCTGTAATCCCAGCTACTCGGGAGGCTGACGCAGTAGAATCGCTTGAATCCTGGGGCGACAGAAGTGGCAGTGAGCCGAGATTACACCACTGTACTCTAGCCTGGGCTACAAGAGTGAGACTCCCTCTCAAAAAAACAAAACCAGCTGTTGCAACTCTCATTTCTTTGTTGAACTCAGAAGAAGCAGATGGACAATGGGAGAAAAACTGCAGATATAAGTGGATTGAGTAGTGAATGGAAGGTGAGAGAACAAATATGGAAAGTACAAGCAACCTTTTTTCAAAATATGGCTCTAAAAAGCAGGAAAGAAATGATGTGATTTAAGAGAAGATTTTTGGTTAAAATAGGTGCAACATGAACATGAGCACTTAATCTGAATTTCTTCTTTCTTTTTTAATAAGGAAAAGAATACTCATCTTGATGCTTCTTAGAAAAGTCAAATGAGATAAAGTGTGTTTTAAAGGCACCAGCAGGATGACTAGCATATAGTAGGTTCCCATGTAGCTTTGTTATTTAGTTCTTGAATTTTTTTTTTTTTTTTTTTTGAGATGATGTCTCAATCTGTCGCGGGCACTGGAGTGCAGTGGTGTGATCTTGGCTCACTGCAACCTCTGCCTCCTGGGTTCAAGTGATTCTCCGGCCTCAGCCTCCCAAGTAGCTGGGTGCCACCACACCCAGCTAATTTTTTGTATTTTTAGTAGAGATGGGGCTTCGCCATGTTGGTCAGGCTGGTCTCAAACTCCTGACCTCATGATTCACCTGCCTTGGCTTCCCAAAGTGCTGGGATTACAGGTGTGAGCCACCATGCCCAGCCAATTTTTTTTTTTTTAAATGAAGGTCATATTCCCTTACTGAGGTGTATTAAAAGTTGTTAAATCAGAAGTTAACTGATTGGTCAAGATATTATATTGCTATTTCAATAATTTGGATTTTGTAACTTTCTCAACTTTCCTCCTGCTAGACTTAATTCTCATCTTTTTAGTCTGTCTTCACATGGGAGCCACTTCATCCTTTGGATCATTTTCATTGCCTTTTAAAAGTCATACAACAATTATACAAATAATTATACAAATGAATCATACAAATCATACACTGATTGGGTATAATAGTGGGCTTATATTTATTCTTATTACTTTTTTATTATAACATTATTCCATAAGTCATAGAGTTACCACAGGACCCAGATAGGTATACACCCCAAGAAAAGTGAAAACATATGCCCACACAGAAACTTGTATGTAAGTGTTCTTGGCAGCCCCAAAGTGGAAATAACCTAAAAATTCAGCAACTGATGAATAGATAAATAAAATATATATATCCATAGAGTGGAATTTCATTCGGCCATAAGAATACATGAGGTACTGATACAAGCTACAACATGAATAAAACTTGAAAATCTTTTGCTAAGTGATAGAAGTTCATCACAAAAGACCACTTATTGAATGATTCCATTTAGAGGAAATGTCCAGCAAAGACAAAATGAGAGAGACAGAGAGTAGGTTAGTAGTTGCCTACGACTTGAGGGTAAGGATTGGGGGAAAAATGGAGTGACTACTAATGGATATGGGGTTTCTCTGTGGGATGATGCTTTATAGTCTGTGTCTGGTAATCTGGTATCTGGAGTCCCTGTGGATGTGTCTTTTTAATGTTGTTTTGCTAGAGGGGTGTTTTCTCCTCCTGCATCTGTCTGTATTATGTAGGGGACTCTGTATTTGAGATTTTATTGTCGGAAATAATTTGAAGACTAGATGGATGTTACATTTTTTCAAAAAAGAATTTTGCTTGCTTTTTCCAGGCACTTGGGAATGCCAGCAGTCAGGTATCATCTTTAATACTTATCTGGAATAATACTTAATCTGGATTACTGAGGATTTTTTGATCCCATTAAATTTTGTGAACGTGGTGAGTATGTCACTGACCTGACACTACTTCCAGCCTTGGTATCTGCCTTGGGATTTGTACACCCTGGCAGTTTGAAGAGAATAGTTGTGGGTCCCTCTAACTTCCTATAAAATCCCATAAATGTTTTCTCCTTTATGATGCCATTTATAATTACCTATAAGACTTTCACAGGATCAGGGACTGAAACATCACATCCAATAAGCTTATCAGATTACTTTTCACTCTCGAAGTAATAGGTTAACAGAAAATTGGAGGGAATAGGACCACGTACTAATGCCTATAAATTATTAGTACTTTGGCAGGCCGAGGCAGGCGGATCACATGAGGTCAGGAGTTTGACACCAGCCTGGCCAACATGGTGAAACTCCATCTCTACTAAAAATACAAAAAAAAATTAGCCGACTGTGGTGGCACATGCCTGTAATCCCAGCTACTTGGGAGGCTGAGGCAGGAGAATCACTTGAGCCCAGGAGGCGGAGGTTACAGTGAGCAGAGATTGTGCCACTGCCCTCCAGCCTGGGTGACACAATGAGACTGTGTCCAAAAAAAAAATTAAAAAATTAAAACATCTGCTTTTAAAAATGAGTAACAAAGCATTAAAGGGCTCGTTCACTAAGTTATAGAACTGTGTCTTGCAATTTAACATGAGGGGGATTAAAGGTGGGTCTCCGTTAGGAAATTAGGCAAAAAATAATATTGTAGAAGCTAATAAAACTTATAATACTGATATTAACAATCAAATGTATAGGGAGATTCAACTACATTCCCTTCAGAATATTATCCCTATGGAGCAGGATTGGCCTGAAGCATATTTTGACTTCAGCAACAATAATTATAGTTGTAATCACTAAACAGAAACATACTACAAAGTACACACTGCTACAGATCAGGTAAGCAAATGAATTGTAAAGTTAGTTCAAATATATGAGAAAGCTTATGCTAGAATTATTGGTTGGTTCAGCTATCTGTGTAAGTCCAAACAAACTGGTTATTAAAAATATGTGGAATCTGTATATAATTTTGATTATCCATTTGATTCTATGATATTGTAAGACAAGTGGTAGTTCTCAGACTAGGAGTGATCATTTTGTCATTATAAGGCCTTGATCATGGATCAGGGATATAGACTGCACTGTGGATTGTTTTGAGCATGACTCTTTTCTGAAGGGGGAAAGCTCCCTCACACACAGAGCAGTGGTGGTGCTGGAGTTACAAGAAAAATGGTCATTGGTGTAGCAAATTCTGAAAAATGAGAAAGATTAGGATCAAAGGACGATTGTGTGGATTAGACTTGCTCAGAAGGTTCACCTGTTTTTCTACAGCAGGGAGAGAAGTGACCCTTTATACAGGGTTGAGAAGCAAATGCATGCAATGAGATGAAGACCTGATTATTCTCTCTGGCAGCTTAGGTAGTATAGTAGTCCCTTCATCCAAAGTTTCACTTTCTGCAGTTTGTTACCAGTGGTCAACCATGGTCCAAAAATATTAAATGGAAAATTCCAGAAATAAATTATTCATAAGTTTTAAATTGCATGCTGTTCTGAGCTGCATGATGAAATCTTGCACTGGCCCACTCCACTCCCTCCACCTGGGAATGAATCCTCCCCCATTTAGCATATGGCACGGTATATGTCACCTGCCCTTCAGTCATTTCCAGTCATTTTGTAGCCATCTCGTTAGAAGATCACAGGCCTTATATTCAAGTAACCTTATTTTAGTTAATAATGACCCCAAATGCAAGTCTTGATGCTGACAATTTGGACATACCAAAGAAAAGCCTAAGTGGCTTTCTTTAAGTGAAAAGTGAAAGTTCTCAACAAGAAAATAAAAAAGTTGTATGTTGAGGTTGCTGAGATTCATGGTAAGAACGAATCTCCTATCTGTGAAGTTGTGATAAAGGAAAAGAAATTCATGCTAGGTTTGCTGTCGCACTACACATGGCAAAAGTTATGGCCACAGTGTGTTGATAAGTGCTTAGTTAAAAAGGAAAAGGCATTATATTTTTGTTTGTAAGACATGAACAGAAAATGTGTTCTGACAGCAATGTGTTGCACCAGATTAACTTAATATTAAAATTTATCATAGGTCTGCGTGTATAAGAAAAGGCACAGTATATATAGGGTTTGGTACTACCCATGGTTTCAAGCATTCACTTGGGGTCTTAGAACATATCCCCTGAGGATAAGGCAGAACTACTTACTGTAAAGGAAAGAAGAAAACTAACCAGAATATACAAATGTGTATAAATCTACTGGGGATTGTAAACTGAAGGAACTAATGCCTGATGGTCTCTATTTCCTCTGGGGAAAATGCAACAATATGATCAGCTGAGAAAAAGTAGTGATGGTTTGGAATAGCTACTGAGGAGGACGCAGAGGGCTGTGAAACAGAAATGCTGGGTAGTATTTAGGCCTGTGAATATATACCCTAATGTGCACCAACCCACACAACTGTATAGATTTCTCAAGCAGGATTCAGTCCATGTGTAGGACTAACAGGTGTTTCTGCAATGGACGTAAAAGGACACCAGGATGCAAAGGAGTTAAAGGCATTAGTAAAGGTATGGTTGGAACCTGTAACTCATTTCAAAGTACATATTCTATGCAGATTTTTCACAAAAAAGAAACATTCTTCAACTTAAGAACAGAGAGTCTTCCTTTCCGGGGCCTGGGATTTCTCCCTTATACTCAGAAGATATTCAAATATTTTTGAATGAATGAATGAACTAATAAACAAGCTAAAATCTAACTTTGCTAAGCATTTCTGAATGTAAGTATTAGGTTTACTTTTGTGATGAATATGTTGATTATTTCAGAGAATTAGAATTCTGTCCCAAGAGTCACATTCCTATAATTTACTTATACCAAAATGACTAGACCAATGCCAAATTCAATCTGGAACACAAAAGTTTATTAGAATAAAAATACACATACAATATCAACACTAAAATTATTTTGCATTGCATATAGGTTTTACCTCCATTAGTTTTTTTTTTAATGCTTTTAAAGTCTATGCTCTAAATAATTTGCACATTTGTAAACAAATCTTAGATTACCAAAGATGCAGTGTCTATCAGATATTGAATAGCAAAACTTAAGGATGGGAACTGATAGCAAAGTCCAATTACACTAAACTTTCCTGTAAATTTTTGGAAAGAGAGGAAAAGATTAAAATAATTCACTTGAAATGAGGTAAGATGCATATGAAAAGGTTTTTAGTAGCATATATCACAATGTTGAGATGAGAATATTAAAAACATTCATGGAAAATTCACTTTGATGTTTTGCATAGTCTAGGTTATTTTTTAAAAAACAAAAAATTAAAAATTACCCAAATTCCTTATTAGAAAAAGAGACAATTATGTGGTTCTACTTCAGATCTATGTATGTTCTAAGTCTTTCTCTCCTTTAGAGAAAAAAGAGATTATCTGATTCTATTTAGGATCTGTGTACATTCTAAGCCTCTCATTTGGAAAAAAAAAAAAAACATTCTCAAGTCTATAGAAGAGAAAAAAATTAAGATTAGAACCAACATTTCAAGCTGCCTTTTGGAAAGAAAATTAAAAACAGAGGTAGATGGTTAATTATTAGTGCCCAAATTACTCAGGTGACTAATTTTTGTGTTGGTACACATTCACCAAATTTTATACTTGAAGCCAAACAGTAAATGACTTTAGGAGTAGACAGTAATACCTAGCAGAAGTTATTTTCTTTATGTCAAAGAAAAGTAATAAAAACAAACCAGGCTTACAACCCCTGTTAAGGAGATGATTGTTTAAAGCACTACAGTTCATGCGCTTTTTAAAGCAGGAGAATGAACCTTGCCCCAAGCTTCTTAGGTGTATCTGAGGCCAGCCACAAGCTCCATCGGACCTGTTCAGTCCAAGTAGGACTGTAGGGTGCCTCGGCGCCGGACATCGCAGGTCCAGCAGTGGAAGCCTCCTCCCAGGGAATTGGCGTTACGAATATTAACCTTAATGGTACTGATACCTGCATTGAAAGAGAGATGAGGTCAGTGAGAAGGACTAACATGAAGCTTCTCCTAGAGAAACTGGGCCTACAGAGTTGGAGGAATCCTGTGGTTCTAATCTTTATGGATACCCAATCCAGATTAGTCTTTTCTCCTCCAATTTTATTTTTACCAAATATATTTCATCTGCTAATATAAAATCTTCTCCAAAAGTCAACAGAGACTCTGCAGTTTTCTTCTATTAACTATACACAAGTCAATAGACTGAGTAGATATACCTACCAAATGTTCAAAATGGTCAAGTACTAAAATCTCAAGGCCTTTTAGAATTATACATTAACTACTTTGTCAGACTGTTTCTAATTTTACCATGTTAATTTAGTAGGCAAAACATAATTTAGCTGACCTGAAACACTGACTTTACATATTCACATATAAGGAGAGTTTATCTGATACAGATTAATTTCAGCAGGCCACCTTAAGGAAACAATGGAAGAGAGCTGGTATTTTAATATCTGGGTTTGTATAGTTATACAGGTACAAAAGCAAATCCAACAGTCAGTTTAATCTGGTACCATCTGTAATGACAAGGCTGTGATGTGACTGGCCTATTTAACCAACAGTATTTCAGAAGTATCTGTTGTGTTAGACATAGTAGGGTTTTAAAAAGAAAATCTATTCTTCTTCCTCAAGGAACTAATTGTTTTAAGAGGGGGATAAGATACAAAGTCACTAAAGGATCCATTGGTATAGCAAAGGAGAAGAAGACGGCATGAGTCATTCAGAAGGACTTTCCTGGATGGGCCTGGTGGCTCAGGCCTGTAATCCCAGCACTTTGGGAGGCAGAAGTGAGGTCAGGAGTTCAAGACCAGCCTGGCCAACATGGGGAAACCCCATCTCTACTAAAAATACAAAAATGGGCCAGGCATGGTGGTGTGTGCCTGTAATCCTAGCTACTCAGGAAGCTGAGACAGGAGAATGGCTTGAACCCAGCAAGCGTAGGTTGCAGTGAGTCGAGGTGGCCCCACCGCACTCCAGCCTGGGCGACAGAGCTGTCTCAAAAAAAAAAAAAAATACATACACACACACACACACACACCCCTTTATAATAGCTCATATGAAAATCCCTTCCTTCAACATTTTTCTCAATAGTACTGGAATCATTGGTCCAAATTTTGAATATCAGGATAAGTAAACTTCTACTTTAAAACCCAGTCCTCCTCTTCAGTTCAAAACTGAATGACTTATAACACCCTTTATTGCACTTCACTACTTTGTTAACTATGCTTATCACACATAAAAGTCACTTCTGTATCTGTACCCCATGAGTCCTTTAAAGTATGTGATGACAAGTTGGTTTTAAAGGACCCACATGCTTTCTTATTTGAAGAAGGGCTGACTACGCTATCTGCTCATCTTCAAAGGGGTGGTTTTCCACACATGGGCACCAGGAGATTGGCTAAGTCATATAAGATTGATAAACTTATTGCTAAAGGAGTGTCTCAGGAGCTCCGATGCATCTCCAACTTTTTGGGGCTACTCATGTTGAAAACAAAAATACTTGGCTGGGCGCTGTGGCTCACGCCTGTAATCCCAGCACTTTGGGAGGCCGAGGTGGGTGGATCACGAGGTCAAGAGATCGAGACCATCCTGGTCAACATGGTGAAACCCCGTCTCTACTAAAAATACAAAAAATTAGCTGGGCACGGTGGCACGTGCCTGTAATCCCAGCTACTCAGGAGGCTGAGGCAGGAGAATTACCTGAGCCCAGGAGGCAGAGGTTGCGGTGAGCGGAGATGGCGCCATTGCCCTCCAGCCTGGGTAACAAGAGCGAAACTCCATCTCAATTAAAAAAAAAAAGAAAACAAAAATACTGACCTTCTGTTAAACAATAACTTGGTGCCTCTAAAAGGAATCAAATTAGATAAACAATATATCAAACCTATCATGTCATTTCTTTAGTGATTCTCATTTAATATTTTCATGTATGACAACATGTTTCATTTGTTGTACATACCCAGCTTTTCAAACATCTTTTGAATTGGAACTTCATTGGCATCCACCATAACACGTTTTTCATCTAGCATTAAGACATTCATGGAAAGCCATTTGGATGACATCCAGAGTGGATGATCTAAAAACAGCACAACTGTTAAACCATGTCTGCTGTCATTTCTGTTTAAAGCAAGGATTTACAAGTGAAGAATATTAAAGTGACAGCTCAATTCTTTCAGTAGTTCACTTTCCACGTGAACACTTCTTTTAATCTTAAAACAATTTATCTACAAACGGTATGAATCTATCCATACTCATTGTACATTTGAATTTTACCCTGTTTTCTTTTAAAAGTCCTATCTTGGTTAGGCATGGTGTAATCCTAGCACTATGGGAGGCTGAGGTAGGACAATCCCTTGAGCCCAGGAGTTTGAGACTATTGCCCAGATATGGTGTCTCAGTGGGCAACATAGCAAGACGCCAGCTCTACAAATAAAAAAACAACTTGCTGGGCATAGTGGCCTGCACTTGTAGTCCCAGCTACTTAGGAAGTTGAAGGGGAAAGATCACTTGAGCCCAGGAGTCTGAGGCTACAGTGAGGTGTAACTGCACAACTGCACTCAAGCCTGGGCAACAGAGCAAGACACTGTCTCAAAAAAAAAAGTCATATCTTGCTTTATGTGATGTTGTTCTATTCTGTCTTCTCCTCACTTCATTATCTATGGAAGAAAAACTTGCAAACACAAGTCCCAGCCTTGTTCTGATGCTCATAATCCAAAGCACCACTTCACACTTTACTGAGGAAACACTTTCTCTAAGCTGCTAACATTTGCTCTCTATAGGCAAAAGATCCTTGGTCACTAAAGTAATCATTTTAGTTTAACAGTGTATGAAAGTAAACATACCATCTGGGATGACTGGTATTGGAGGAGTAATGATAGTCCATCCTGCTTTCTTGAAAAGATCAATCTGTAAGACCAAAAAAAAAAAAAAAAAACCCAAAATCCTTAAATCCACATATACTATTATTATTCTTAGTCTCTAATAGCCCTTATCATTAATAATTATTTTTGAGAAGCTGTCTTCTCAGCTTCCAAAATAAATAAATTAAAATTTCTAAACATTTGATGATTTTGTCTGAATACTAATTAAAAATGTACATAAAATCCCCAAATTAAAGTTGAAAAGTAACAGAAATGTTAAAGCTTTTAAAGATAGTCTTATGCTTTTCTCAGGTTTCAGAGACTTAAAATACCAAAGATACTTTCCTTAAGAAATTCTCATTTTAAAAATTGAAAAAATTTCCTGTTTAGTTACAAGAAAACAAAAATGTGAGTATGTCAAACCCACAGTCCTTCTATTTCCTTGCCCATCACTTTGAATCTAAGATCATGGTATAAAGACAGATGTTAACTATACATTCTCAAAGAACTGTATTGTTCTTAGTGACCTTTACAACTCAGCCATCCCTGTGTTCACACACCCACTTACTGTATGAATAAATAATAAAATGAAATGAATAAGAAAGGGTGGCCATTAGATCTAAAAATAAAAAACAGAAATGAACAGTATAATAGTGGTTTTTCAAAGTTGTACTACAGCCTTGCAAATAACAGAAAATCACTCACCACCTAACTGGAATTAGGGAGCTGTGGACAGAAAGTAGGAGGCTGCAGGTGAAGGAGACAGACCAGCTGCTGTGCAGTGGCTCTGCTTCTCCCTACAGAGCAGGGTTGGCCAATGGGAGCCTAACCCACTGTAGAGGGAAGACAACCATTGCCCAGTGGCATTGCCCTGGCCATGTGGGGATCATCTTGTCTACAGTTCACTGCTGTGGAACCATTACTGCAAGTTATGGGATAATACCACCCTGTTTGATAAAAATACATATGTACAAACTGGAAGCTTTCACAGTAGCAAGCAGCCAAGGTCTGATGATCCCATACTAATTATTGTGTCAACTATGTATATTTCTGCATATTGGACATCTTGTAATAAACAAACCATAGGGAATCCAATGTTTGATCATAATAATGTTGAGTATTGCTGAATCTGTCATTGAGAACCATTAGGAATCATGGAAGTGCTTAAAATAAAAGTGTCAATTATTGGCCAGGGGCAGTGGCTCACATCTGTAATCCCAGCACTTTGGGAGGCCGAGGCGGGCAGATCACCTGAGGTCAGGAGTCTGAGACCAGCTTGGCCAACATGGTGAAACCCCGTCTCTACTAAAAATACAAAAAAAAAAAAAAATTAGCTGGACACGGTGGTGCACGCCTGTAGTCCCAGCTACTGGGGACCTGAGGCTGGGGAAATCAGTTGAACCTGGGAGACAGAGGGTGCAGTGAGCAGAGATCACGCCACTGCACTCCAGCCTGGGTGAAAGAGCGAGACTGTCTTAAAAAACAAACAAACAAACAAAAAACAGTGGCAATTATTTTAGTTACTAGATTCTGTTGCTTTTCCAGAGTCCCAGGAAATCTCTTACCTGGTGACATGGTCGGTCAGGGTTGGAAAGCACAAGACCAGGTCCAATGATGTTGAAGGTGGCATCAATATGCATGGGATTGGGGTCTTTAAAGGAGATGATATGCACTCTGTAGTCTGGAGCAAGATGCCTACGCATCCATTCAATGCCTAGGTAGTTTGTAACCTGAAAACAAAAGAAAGAGATACAATCTATAAATACTTGGTTCTATGTCTAGAAAACTAAAAATATTCAAAGTGAAAAAATTTTGGATGAAATATTTTAATTTAGAAATAAAGAATACAATAATATAGTGTGAAATTTCAGAGGCAGCCTGCATTAACCTGGCTTCTCTGTGCAAAAATATCTCTTCCAGCTCGAATGAAGTCAGCAGCATCAAAGCATGGCTCAAACTCAGTTGTCACAAATTTTCCCTGAGCAGCCAATTTGTGTCTGTCTTCTACAGAGTGGATGGGATAAGCCTAATTGGAACAAGAATAAACACGCTCAATGCATTGGATCTTCGGAAAATTATTTATAAGGCATACAGTACTAAAAAAATTAGTTTAACATTCTTTCCCAAAATACTAGTACTCAGTTCTAGACTAAAACATGCCTGGGAAAAAAACAGGTCCATGATAAATAAACCAAAACAACAATAAAACAAGAAACTAGGCTTTGCGTAATTTCCTGTTACAGTAGTCCTCCTTTATACATGATTTCATTTTCCATGCTTTCAGTTACCCACAGTCAAGTGTCACCCCAAAATATTAAGATATTTTGAGAGAAACAGAGAGACCACACTCACCTAACTTTTATAAAATACATTTACATAATTGTTCCATTTTATTATTAATTATTGTTGTTAGTCTCTTACTGTGCTTAATTTGTAAATCAAACTTTATCATAGGTATGTATGTATAGGAAAAAACAAAATATATGGAGTTGAGTAACAGCATCAACTGAGGGGCTGGAATGTATCCCCTAAGGATGAGAGGGGACTATGTACTCAGGAAAAAAAGTGGTGAGGCAGTATCTGATTCTGAAAATATTCCATGACCCATATGGAAAGTCAACTGGATGAAGTCATTCTGTTCTTTTAGAAAAGGAATTTGGTCCTGAGCCTAACTCATACCATAAATTGAGATGCCATGTTTCCCCTGCCAAATTTGATTGGGAGTAGCAAAATTAATTTATTATTTATTTCTGTCTTTAAGCCCCTAGAAGCAATTTTGATTTTTAAATTTTTTTCTATAAAAGATCAAATGGTAACTTATTTAATAAGGAACATATATTTCATTTTACTGTGAATTTGGCCTGTGGACCAGGTTCTTTTTTCTAGAAGAAGAAAGTGAACTTCAGTCTAGTGGCTCTTCTGGTGAATAGTGGTACACTTGCAGGCGAGTTTTTCCCCCTCTAATGGAATAATACTACAGTATCCTTAGGGTTGTTGTGAAAAAAAAAAAAAACAGGATTGAGGATGTAAATAAAGGGTTTAACCCAGGACCCAGAACAAAGAAAGCACCAAAAAATGTTAGCTATTATTATTATTATTATCATAGGATCATTTACTCTTATCATATTCATCATAAATCAATCACTTTCAAAAAATAAGATGGTGTTTTCTGTTTCCAAAATGTATAATATAGACAAGGTATCAGATTATCTTATTCTTTGTGGATCATTTAGAAAAACTAGTAATAAGCTAGCTATAATTAGGGACTCACCTGGTCATAAAGCTCATCAGCCATTGTGGGCTTAGGAGCTGTTGTCCACTTGGCACCACGGTGGAAGTAGTCTTTGATAATTGACCGGTATGCTCGGTACTCAAAGAAGCGTGCACGCCATGCCATGGGAGCCTCAATAATCTCATTGCCTACAACTATCAGGATGTCTCGAGGCATTGCACTGTATAAACCTGTCAGACCAAAAAATTCCATGACAACTTCAGTAGTGTTAATTTCCAAAACAAAAAAGGTCTATATAGGGACAGGCACAGTGGCACATGCCTGTAATCCCAGCACTTTGGGAGGCCAAGGCAGACAGATGACTTGATCCTGACTGGGCTGGTTAGGAGTTCGAGACCAGCCCGGCCAACATGGTGAAAGCCCATCTCTACTAAAAGGATACAAAAAAAATTAGCTGGCCATGGTGGACGTGCCTATAATCCTAGCTACTCAGGAGACTGAGGCAGGAGAATCTCTTGAACCAGTAGGCAAAGGCTGCAGTGAGGAGAGATCATGCCCCTGCACTCCAGCTTGGGTCACAGAGAGAGACTCTGTCTCGAAAAAAAAAGTCTATATAATATGACCTCTTTTTTTGTTAAAAAATTACTAAAAATACATGTGTATATGTATATATGAAAATGGCAAAAAATTTGAATCATACACACTAGATTGCTAACATGAATTCTGTGTGGTGGTGGGGAAGCCAAAAAAAGGAAAAAAGTGAAGGAATAAAGTCCTTGTATAAAGAGATCTTGAACCATCAAGCTTTCACCATTTGTAAGCTCCTGTCTTGCTATACAGAAACAGAGCTCTTAAAGGTCTATCAGTATCACAAGATAAAATTTGAGCCAAGGATCAATCTAAAGCTAGAAATTAGAACAGTGACCTAAGGCACAAGAACAGTCATACAGCAATGTCAGCTAAAAATAAAATGCAAATGTTTCTATTCCCCTTTAAATTTCTGTTCTTGCATAAAATTAAATGAATCCACTGTTCTTATGTAAGGAAATGACTATAAAGTTTAGGAAAAATTGTTCTTTCAAGGAGATTCCACTAGATGAAATAGAATTTAGACTGTGTACATCTTAATCATATCAACATGGACCAAACCATTCCGAAATAAATCTTTAAAGTTTTCAAGAACTAGCAAACCAAAGGACATCTCCAAGAAATTTTTTGGAGTTTTCCCCTTACACATTAAGAAAGACATTGAAAACTCAGACGCTGGCAGTTTAGTTATGTGACATCACTTACCCGTAGACTCAAAATCAGGAGTTTTATACTTCAGTGACCAGTCAATGGGGTCAGGCCTCCTCACTGTCACTCCTTCCATTTTTAAAATATTGCACATTTCTTCAATTTCAGCTACAGCCTTTTTCAAATGATCTTTGGGAAAATAATGCCCTCCATGCTTCTGGTAAAATGACCAGTACTTTTCATATGTGTTGGCCTGGAAGTAGAAACAAATAAATGCAATACTTACAGGAGAAAAATACAGCTCAGGATAGGTTCATAGGCAGTGAACAGCTCTTTGTATAAGGTATGGGAATTGAGACTAAAACCATGTCGTGTTCAGTGTTGATCCCTAGCACTGAGCACATGAGCTCTCTCTGGGGAGATACTCAGTATCTGTTAAATGAAGAACTCTGAAATATCTTGATATTTTGAGGCCTTTTGGCTCCTTCTGCCTGAGATCTCATGCCCAACCACTAACAGCACGTTTACCTTCAGACAGGCTTGGAATCCTCTTGGTCAGTTTTTTTTACCATGTTTTGCAGACAAAACAGGACATAGCACTTCCGTTAGAGAGCCTTAATGAAATGAAACAAGAGAACACACAAACTAGCATAAGAGAATAAAAGCACTTATACTAAGCCAAAGCCATGGCTACCTATGCATCTTGGAATTGTCTGGAAAACAGCACCTCAGGTATTTTGTGAGGGGGGACAAAAAGATAGTTTGTCCTGTTAATATCAGGAACATACTTTCAAATATGCTTTATTTCTCTTAAAGCCCCATTATTGGCCAGGGATGGTGGCTCAGCCTGTAATCCCAGTACTTTGGGAGGCTGAGGTGGGCAGACTGCTCGAGGTCAGGAGTTCAAGACCAGCCTGGCCAACGCGGCAAAACCCCATCTCTACCAAAAATTCAAAAATTAGCTGGGCATGGTGGCACATGCCTGTAGTTGTAGCTACTTCAGAGGGTGAGGCAGGAGAACTGCTTGAACCCAGGAGGCAGAGGTTGCAGTAAGCCAAGACCACGCCACTGCACTCCAGCCTGGGCAACAGAGTGAGACTGCATCTCAAAAAAACAAACGAAAACCAGTATTGATTTTCCCATTCAACAGAATTAGCACTTGACAAAATTGTGTGATAATGCAAGTCTGCCTTTAGTACTTCCCTGTCAATATGCCTCATGCCAACCACACCTCTCTTCTTTCTAATCCATTTGGCTTTCACATCTCTTCAGGTCTTTTTGTCATAGAAGAAAGTGATCTGATATGCAAAGTCACAAATTTTTAGTAACTGAAAAAAAAATTTAGAAAGTTTCTAGGGCTATACGTATTTTAAAAGACAACCAAACAGAAAACAGGTGAATGCTTTAAAAAGGATCAATTTGCTAAAAATTATTCTTGAATTAGGGTAGATGCAACAGCTGTAAAATAATGGTTTTCTTTTCTTCTTTTTTTTTTTTTCTTTTTTTTAGATGAGTCTCACTCTGCTGCCCAGGATGGAGTGCAGTAGTGTGATCTTAGCTCACTGCAACCACTGCCTCCCAAGTTCAAGCGATTTTCCTGTCTCACTCTCCTGAGTAGCTAGGATTACAGGCCCCTGCCACCATGCCTGGCTAACTTTTTATATTTTTAGTAGAGATGGGATTTCACCATGTTGGCCAGGCTGGTCTCGAACTCCTGACCTCATGATCCACCTGCCTCAGCCTCCCAAAGCGCTGGGATTACAAGTGTGAGCCACCGCACCTGGCCAAAATATTGGTTTTCAAAAATGTAAAACTCTAGAAAGATTATCCATTCAGATTGTTTTGCATAGTCTAAGTTTGCAATCTGCATAAATACATTGAGAAATGTACATGATGTATCTTCCCATTTTTCAAGCTAGTTGAAGCAGAACTCCAATCAGAGAATCCAAACTCTATGAAAAAACCTTAAATCTTCATCAAAAGATTAGCAAAGCAACATACATTGATACAAGTTAAAAATGTTTTAAATTTAAATTTTTGTTTAAAAATGTTTAAAGCAGGTATTTAAAAAATGTTTCTTTTTATAATTGATGAACTGACAACTATTAGTCCTGATCATGTCAGATATAAGGGGCTCTACCATAAATCAGATAACTTCAGAAAGCAGTAAGTACCAGAAAGGTGTAAAACTTGGTTATGGGCTCAAGTGTGTCAGAGTGTGTCTACTTTAGCTGGATATTCTTATTTGGTCTCCCAGCTATCCCATCAAAGAAGCAGGGCAATTTCTCATGTGCTTATTTCACATATAAGGAAAGAGGCTCTGGGAGGTCACATGCTTGCTAACTATCTGGACAAGCAGGACTAGAACTCAAGTGCTCTGACTCTTACTCGAATAGTGTCCCTAATACACCATGGGACTTGGCCATGTTATGCTGGTTTGAACACTTCTAACTAGATATGTAAAAACTTTTAAGAATGGAATTGCTTAACAGGTTCAAATTGTCCCACTGGCTTTTCTTCATCAAGACTAACCAAATATCTAGATGTTTTGCTCTTTAATGTCAAAGACAGTATCTTTTCTAGATTTTGTGTCTCTACTTCCATATTTATCTCAGTCTGATAAATATGAAATATATGAAAGTAGACTTGTCTCTTGTTAGTTCAATATCCAGGTTCACATCAGGTACACTGGAACCCAGCTTGGTGAATAAGGAATAAGCCAAGAAACACGTCTTTAGAAAAACTGAATGATGCCAGTGAAACTCTTAAATAGAAGTTGGTAAACAAGGGTCCAAGGGCCAAACTTGGCCTACTGATTGTTTTTGTAAATAAAGTTTCATGGGAACACAGCACATTCATTTGTTTACATACTGTCTATATGGCTACTTTTGCACTACAATGACACAGTTGAGAGTTGACTGGTTGCAACAAAGACCCATAGTCCGCAAAGCCTAAATTACTTATCTGATAGACAAAGTTTGCTGACCCCTGGGGTCTGACTTGTTAATTATTATTATTTTTTAATTCTTTTTTTTAAATACTTTAAGTTCTGGGGTCCATGTGCATAATGTGCAGGTTTGTTACATAGGTATACATGTGCTGTGGTGGTTTTGCTGCATCCATCACCCCATCATCTACATTAGGTAATTCTCCTAATGCTATCCCTCCCCTAGCCCCTCACCCACTGCTATCCCTTCCCTATCCCCCATATACATATTTTTTGAGATGGAGTCTCACTCTGTTGTCAGTCTGGAGTGCAGTGGCATGATTTCACTGCAAGTTCCACCTCCTGGGTTCAAGCAATTCTGCCTCAGCCTCCCGAGTAGCTGGGACTACAGGCACAAGCCACCACGCCCAGCTAATTTTTGTATTTTTAGTAGAGACAGGGTTTCACCATGTTGGCCAGGATGGTCTTGATCTTTTGACCTCGTGATCTGCCCACCTGGGCCTCCTGAACTGCTGGTATTACAGGCGTCAGCCACCGCACCCGGCCTTAATTAGTTCTTTTACTTTAAAGATCTGTAGGCAAACAGCAAACTGAATTTCTGGCCTATGAAAAATGTTATCAGCATTAAACATTTTTAAAGACCAAGCTACCCTTTCAAAAAACAAAATAAAAGCACTCCACTGTTTTCTACTCCTACGAATTTCTGCAACAGCAACCAGAGAGAGGATAATAATGACTCTTTATATTCCTCTCAGACACATGCTGGTACTACTTATCCATTCACCACTTACTCTTTCTCATGCCAGGCACATCTCCTACAATCCACTAGGGACAAGAAGCCTTTGAAAATTTAACACTGGGTTATAGGAGATGCAGAGTTACACTGTCTTGCCAGACTCATTCCAAAGTATCCTCCCTCTGTGACTATTTGTGCAGAGTGAAGCTTGCCTTGGTAAATTAAACTTTCCTAGGAGGCAAAAGTTATTTGAACAAATGTGAATTTTTCTTGTAGAGTTTATAATCTGACAAAGGTTGGACAAAGTCCAAATGATCAGGGCACAATACATTTTACAAGAAATATCTAGAAATGGGTTTACACTTCCTTTATAACCCTGCTAAATGAGCTAGCAATCATTTACCAAGTTGTCTGCAAGACAACGAACACTATATTAGATGCTCAGCATATGATGTTTTTAATAATCTGTTGCAAATATATGCCTGCATTCGTTGAACCTCTATAGTCTTTCAAAGCCTAAAATCCTTTACAGAGGTTTGCCAAGTGAATTTTTAAATACTGTCTTTGGAAGGCTAAAAAATAACAATAGAAATGTATTTAATGTATGTATAAGCTTATATTACACTAATCTTGATTAATCTTGTATTTTATAAAAGGTCCTTTATCAAGGGCTTTATTTTTAAAAAGACAAAAGCAGGCCAGGCGCGGTTGCTCACGCCTGTAATCCCAGCACTTTGGGAGGCTGAGGTGGGCAGATCACCTGAGGTCAGGAGTTTGAGACCAGCCTGGCCAACATGGAGAAACCCCATCTCTATAAAAAAAAAAAAAAAAAGACAAAAGCAAAACAAAAAATGTATTTGATAGCAAATATTTACTATATTTTGCAGAATAAAGTCACAGAGCTTTAAAAAATGCTTCCTAACAATTATGTTCCACATACCTTTCCTGAAAATTTCTCTAGCACTTATATCTTCCAACATCTTCTGCTCTGATTGCCTGGAGACAGTTTGCTATATTGTTTTTTCTTTTATTGTCCCCGGAACTGATGAATGTATGTGTCACTCTCTACTACTTGCCTGCTAGGAGCCATGCATGTCTTAGATTTACTTTTTTCTCCCTCAAAACCAGGCTTAGCACATGGCATGAAACAGAATTAACTATTATTTCCTGAGAGTAAAAGAGAGACAGAGAGTAAACAAACAAACAAACAAAAGAACAAGACAAATAAATGAAATCAACACGGCTAATGTTACTGATATCTACAACTATTACAATCCCAAAGTACCTTTGGAATGTAATTGGCAAACTAGATCCATACAACCATGGATCCATACAACTATGATAAGTTGTAGTTTTAACCTTTAAAATACTTAACATGTAACCTTTTACCTTTAGATTAATCCTTAATCCTGTTAGGTAGATAGTAAACCTCTTAATATCTTCATTTTACTCTGGCCCAGAAATTTGTGGAATTTTGTACAAGGTCGAATAGCTGATTAACCAAGACTAGCTATCAAGCTTTTATCAAACACCTAATTAATACCAGACCCCTGACTTCAGCATGGTACTCTTTCCACAAGCCCATGAAATGACAAAGTCTAAAGTCATAAAACAAGTGACAACTCAAATTATGTCTGAGAATTCTGATTCCATAAAATCACATGATATGAAAGTCTATCATTTTAAAGACAAATAGAATAAAAAATTATTGCCTGAATTTAAACTTTAATTTTGTCCACTTATAATGGTTAGGGGATGGGACTTTTCAAGGAAAGATTTTAAAAGACTATGCCTTTTAAAAACATGTGGATGTTATATAAATTAATCTTCTCATCAAATTCTAAATATCAGAACCAAAGGGAGTCACTGAAGCTAGGTGGTGGTAGGTTTAAACTACAGACTAAAGGGCACGGGAAGATGGGTGGAAGAGACTTAGGTAGGGGCAAAGACGCAGGGCTTGTGAGGAAACAGTGAGTAGTCTAGTTTAGCTGCCTTATATGGTTGTCTTATAAAGTCTGCTGAAAACCAGGATGGAATATTAGGGGAGAGAGGGACTTGACCAGAAATGAACACCTGCTAATCTGCTGTACTAACACATCTCTAAAATAAGTCAATAACTGGAATGGGGAATCCTGGAAATGCAGACAAGAGTCAGATTGTGAAGGATCTTGAATACTACGAGGACTTTATCCTAAGCAAAGCGGGGAGGGGGCGGTGGGCAGCAAAGTAGAAGAGGAAAAGAAGAAGGATTAGTAACATAATCACATTTGAGTTTTTAAAAATCACTTAGATTGCAGCTGGAAGGTGGTTTGGTGAGAACAGTGAGTATCAGTGACCAGTTAGGAGTTAACTGCAATAGTCCAGGCAGCAGATGAGCTCCCAACCCTTAGGGAAAGGCAAGGCAGAGGGATGAGGCAAGATCCCTTTTGACAAAAGCCTTGTTAAACCTTGGAGAATGGATGTGGAAGATGTGACATAAGGAGAAATTAAAGCTGATTCTTTTGTGCTTTAGGTTGTTAAACAGGGATGCCAATAATTAAAAGGAAGGAATGAAGAGGGTGGCTGGCAACTGAACTCCAGATGTGCCAAGTTTGAAGTCCTGTGGCAACATCCCATGAGGAGTTTAACACGGTGATCTGGATGGAGTTCAATACAGAGATCTGGACCAGAGTAGAGGTGGGAGGGGTAGCTGTGAGAACAGCTAAGAGAAGGGGGTTGAAAGTGAAATTCTGTTCAACCTCGGCATTACAGGCCGTGAAGGAAGAGGATCTGAGGACAGTAAAAGAACTATTATTCCCAGAAAAGCTCTCAGAATCCAAGGGAAGAGCTACAGGAAGGAAGCAATTATGGTTGGTGTAAATGGTATCAAATACCACAGAGGTGTCAGGTGCGAGAATTAACCACTGGACTGAGAGGTCTGCGGATTAAGCAGAAGGGAAAGCAGTCAGAGGGTAGCAGCAGCAGGTGAGGAGGGAACAAACTTCCAGACATGTGAATAAGCCTTGTCTTACCTTCACCTCCACGGTGAATGGTGGAACACAGGCGTTTTCTGCTCTGCCCACTATCACTTCCTCTAAGGGGTCCCATTCGTTGTAAGAAGAAACAGGGCAGTCCTTGGGCAGAGGCTCAGTAGCCTTGTCGTCAGCTGCACAGGAGTTCCGGGAGGAAGCCGTAGCTGCCTGGGTGCTCTGGAAAGTTCGCTGCACCCATCCTGTGAAGGTTCGTCCAAGCTTCCAAGAACAAAGAAAAGATTATTGTATTGTGTTGCTCTATACAGTACTTGAGGGGAGGAGGAAGTGGAGATGGGGTAAAAACCCAGCATAACATTGCCACTTAAACCCCTTTAGGACAGCGTAAACCAAGATGTTCATAGTGAGTAGGTGGCTAGTGGGATTACAGGTAATTTTTTAACCCTCTTGTTTATCTACAAATTGTCTTCTTATCTATTAGTTGTTGTAACTCTTTAAAACTCCTAAGAATACTGTGTCCCCAGCTACCATACAATCCTGTCTTTATCGCAGAATGCATTCCTGCACTCAAGCCTTAAGCAACTCTTTTGCAGATGATGGGTCAGTCCTCCTCTCAAAAAACCATAAACAACTGCTCTGTAACTTCCTGCCAGTCCCAGCTGGGGACAGAACCTCCTTTCCCTTCAGTATCAAAGGTTACCAATATTAGGCTTTTTATTTTATTTTATTTATAAATGAAAAGGTGGGAGATAAAAGGACCTTATCTTTCTAAATAACTAGGTTCAAGTCAAAATTTCTTCATCTTTGACATACACTTTACATTCTTTGGCGCTTCAGTTCTGAGAGTGAGCCACTGACATCTGCTCTTTTACAGATGGTCCACAGTACCCTGGCCAAGATCAGGAATAACCCAGGCACAAATTCAAACAACTAAAAAGGAAATCTAAAAACCTCAAAAGCTTTTTTTAAAAAGCACGACCTATAAAATCTAGAGCAGGGAGGATCCCTCGACCCCTGAGCAAACCTCAACCCCCAAATCTCTGTCCCGCTCTGTTAAAAGCCTTAGGAAGCGGGCAGGAGGGTAACTCGGGTGGAGGCAGAAGCAAGACATAGAGTGACAGCTGTTCAGGAACCAGTTGCTGAGGGAAAGCTAGAATGTCAGAACGATTCCAGTCCTAGGAGCTGGGTAGGGTCTGCACCTTAGGCAGCCGAGGGCGGGGTGCGTAGCAACTCTGCTTACAGGCTGCACTCGCCCCAACTCCTCTGCAGACGCGGGACCTCATGTTACACTTGGAGTGAATCTGGTCGCTCGCTCCCCGTCCCCGCTTCCCACTTTGCTTCCCTCTTCTCCCCATCCATCCACCCCACACGCATTTTTTCAGAAATCTCCCCAGCTTGACCCTTTTACTAAGAGGAGTCCCGGTCGCTCCCAGCGGGAAGCTTGGTGAAGCGCAAAGAGGTCCGGTAGAGGAGGGCGGCGCCCCCTGCGCCGTGGGCCAGCAGGCCGCAGACGCGCAAACAGCAAGTGGACCCCAAGGGGTGGGCCCTCAACGCAAGCTTCCACTGCCCGGGTGACACCGCCCAGCTCCTGGAGCCTGCAAAGGCTTTCGAAGCTGAGCTTCCCAGGGAGACCAGAAGGGACACTTTCGTGCAATTCTGGCTGGGGAAAGCGAGGGAAGGCGGCGGCTCCGGGAAGCCAGCGAGTGGTCCACGCCGACCGCAGGGCCGAGCGAGGGCGAGTCACGCGGCGGCCAGATGAGGCCCGTGGCGCACGCACCCGAGACCCGATGTAGTGCACCGCCTCCGCGCCGCGGCTCCCGCCGCGCAGACACCGCACCCGCAGCATCGCCCCGGCCCGGCTGGTCCACGCGCGGAATGTTCCTGGCCCTCGGCCGTGTCCTTCCGAACCTCCCCTAGTGCGCGCTCGGAGCGGGGTGGGCGGGCGCGCGGGGTCCGTGGCCTTTTGTAGCCGCGCTCCGCCCCGGCCGCCCCCCGCGGCCCTATTGGCTGCCGGGAACAGGTGGTGGGGCCGACGGAGAGCCCCGAATTAGGAACTGTTGGGAAGCTCCGCGGACGCTGGCTCGAGCCGCCGACGCTTGCCCTTTTTTAGCTAGCGGGGCCACTGACGGCTTCGGTTGCACGCCCGGACCCGGACCCGGACCCGGATCCCTACCCGGGCGCAGCAGGAGGCCCGCTAGAGTCTTGCGCAACTGGGCCGGACGCGACTTCGGACGAAGTGACAATGGTCTATGCATATATTTAAGTGAACATTTGAGAATTTAAATACACAAGGGGTGAGTACAATCTTACGCTTAAATTCACATATGCGCACTGACCCAGTCCCCTCATTTTTCGGTAAACGAAACCGCCTAAAGATTAGGTGGTTTCTTAGTGCAACATCGGGTTTGAGACTGCAGAAAACTGTGTCTGGAAGTCGGGCCATTTGCTCCCTGGGGAGGCAGTGCTTTCCTTCCACGACCCCGTATGGTGTTATTTGGAACACCTGGCATTTCACATGGTCTTTGGCCATGTGTCCCTGGCTCGAGAAACTCTGTCATGAAAATCGATAAGTGTGGGTCAAAAAAAGGAAGGACGACAGTTTCTTTCCTTCCATTTCATGTTTTAAAATTTTTGTTTCAATTGATTACGATTCTTTTTTAGAAAAGTATTTCCCTCACAGTGCAGTGTTAATTGCTGCGGATCTGTGCAAAACTAGACAACTCAGGTTAACATTTACATTTCTAGCAGGTGAGGGGGCAAGATATTTGAGTATTTCATTTTTGTACTTATAAAAGTGTAACTATTCATTTTTGATGAGCTGTCTTTTTAATTTTGGTATCTCAAGCTTGTTTTCCAGAGTTCATGGATGGAAAGCACCAGACAAGAAGATGGCATGATGGAAAGAGCCTCGGAGAGGGAATTAGGATAACTCAGTTCCAGTCCTGGCTGTGTTATAGACTGCTGTGTGTCTTCTTGAGTTGCAGTCTTCTTATCTGCAAAGTGAGAACAATAGAATTTACAGTCCCTTGCACATGGGGGGGATGCAGTCTTCTTATCTGCAAAGTGAAAGCAATAGAATTTACAGTCCCTTGCACATGAGAACTTGATGTGTGGCATTAGAGCTGTATGAGGCTGGGTGTGGTGGCTCATACCTGTAATCCCAGCAATTTGGGAGGCTGAGACGGGCAGATCACCTGAGGTCAGGAGTTTGAGATCATTCTGGCCAATATGTTGAAACCCTGTCTCTACTAAAAATACAAAATTAGCCAGGTATGGTGATGGGTGCCTGTAATCCCAGCTACTGGAGAGCCTGAGGCAGGAGAATTGTTTGAACCCGAGAGGCAGAGGTTGCAGTGAGCCGATCGATCCACTACACTCCAGTCTCGGCAACAGAGTGAGACTCCGTCTCCAAAAAAAAAAAAAAAGCTATGTGACTATGAGGTAATGTGTTAACACTCGAGCAATAAGGAGGCCCCCCTAAATGCCTATGGTGAAAGGAGTAAGTCTAAGTTCATAACTTAACCCTGCCACTAATTTGCTGCATGACCTGGAACCAAATCCCTTTATCTTTCTAATTAAGGCTTCACACTTCTAGTGAGGTTTTGGGAAATCTCTAACATTTCTCAGAATTTAAAAAGTGCTTTCTCCCAACAATAAAATGCAGCCACCTCTAAGGTCTGATTCTCCTAGTATACTATGGGGCTGAGATGTGCTTCTCCTCAAAAGAATTGAAGAGTACTGTAAGTACATGTAACAAGGCCTTGATGTCACTATACCATTTCTGTTTGAGATTGGAGGACATCTTCATGCCACCCATCAAATGCACTATTTTAATTTTGCAGATGTAATAATTGGGAGTGCCTGGTAATAATGAAGTTATGATGTTGTTACATTTTATCTAATGAAAAACTTTTTTCTTTTTGAGATGGAGTCTCACTTTGTCACCCAGGCTGGAGTGCAGTGCCATGATCTCGGCTCACTGCAACCTCTGCCTCCTGGGTTCAAGCCATTCTCTTGCCTCAGCCTCCTGAGTAGCTGGGACTACAGGTGCCTGCCACCGCACCCGGCTAACTTTTGTATTTTTAGTAGAGACGGGCTTTCACTGTGTTAGCCAGGATGGTCTCAAAACTCCTGACCTCATGATCTGCCTCCCAAAGTCTGGGATTACAGGCATGAGCCAACACTCCCGACCTGCAATGAAAAACTCATAGCCAAAGAGCACACCCTTATCTCCTGGGATCCAGCAGGAAATGTGTGGATAGCGCCACCCAAAGCAGTCCTACTGTGCAAATCAAAGCACTCACTCCTCCTTTTTGCCATGCCTCTGATGTATTTTCATTCTTTGTCCTTTTATCCCCTTTTATATCACAACTTTTTTTTCATTTACTAAAATCATATTTTGTTCTCTTTTAAGTCCTGTTTCTGAAAAAATTCTGTAACAATTTCTAGAATGACCTTATCAATTTAAAGTACAAGCTTTCCATACTAGATTGTCAAATACTAGGCCAAGCCTGCAAAGTATCTATATAGTGATGGTTGGCAGCTCCGTGGTTTTTAGTTGCTGCCTTATTCAGAAGAAATGGAATAGACTGTGAAGTCTTGTCTTGCCTTCCCCTATTGGCAGTAGATATCATCAATAACTTTGAAACAATAATTTTAGGATCTTGGTGGAATCATACTTAGTGGTTATGTATATTCAAGTCTAATAGTAGTACACTTTTGTAGCTTAACTTAAAGGCATAACTTAGGATAGTGTGTGTGTAAAGGGGGCTAAAAGAACTAGGAATAGAAAACACATCAGAAGCATGGCAAAAATTCAGCTTTTCAATTCTCCCTCATCACTTTTGCTTTGGGGATATGCCCAACTCTCCCTAGTTCCAACTAACTAACTACGGGGTTTCTGAAATGTGTCTTGAGATTAAAATAAAACAAAAAATGAGTAAAGGCTTGAATTAACAAAATAACAAAGCGCCCGTTGTAAGAATTCACTATTTCTCTATCATGGTTAACTTCAGAATCTGTACATAAGGTGTAAACAAGTACAGAGGAAGGTATTCCTAGAACTTAAGAGATACAGATACTCTGTGAAATTGGTAAACACACACACATACACACAGGCACACTGGATGAGATTAGCTATCTACAGAAGTCACCATTTCTAAGAGACATATGTTACCTATAGTTTAGGGTAAGAATATCTCTCAAAGTAAGTTAGAAACAATAATGTATTATTCAAGTTCAAACAAGGTGACTAAAGTATATTCTCATGACTGGAATGTAAACAAAGAAAGCTGCAATTTTTTAGAAAATATTATTTAGGCTGTATCAATAAAATATATTTGGAAGGATACACAGATACTGATAACCTAAGTTGTCCCTTGCGGGGGACCTGGGTGGCTGGGAGACAGGAGTGAGAGAGATTTTCCACTGTAAACCTTATTGTACCTTTGAACATGTGAGTGAATTACCTAATAAACAAAAAACATATTTAAAAGACTGCATTTACAGAAGTATGATTATCAACATGGAGTTTTAAAAAAGGAAGCCTGAATGGCCAGTCAGAGTCTATTCATCCAGCCGTACCTAAGGATGGAATCAGAATATTCTGGCCACTGGATAGGTTAAACCTGTTGAGGACAAGAAAAATTCTATGGGTTTTTATGAAATATCCCTCAAAATTATTCACCTCCTCTAATTTCTGAGGTCACCAGGCTCATCCATGGGAACTGTGGCATAGGGGAATTACCCTGTAGGCTGAGCACAAGTGATCTGATAGCTGTAAAGATGAAGATTTCATCGTAAAGTATTAAATCAGTATTCTGCCAGGCGTGGTGGTTCATGCCTGTAATCTCAGCACTCTGGAGGCCGAGGTGGGTGGATCACCTGAAGCCTGTCAAACATGGTGAAACGCTGTCTCTACTAAAAATACAAAAATTAGCCAGGCATGTTGGTACACACCTGTAATCCCAGCTACTTGAGAGGCTGAAGCAGGAGAATTGCTTGAATCCAGGAGGTGGAGGTTGCAGTGAGGTGAGATCATACCACTGCACTCCAGCCTGGGCAACGGGAGAGAAACTCTATCTTAATAATAATAGCCCGGGCACGGTGGTTCACGCCTGTAATCCCAGCACTTTGGGAGGCTGAGGCGGGTGGATCACTTGAGGTTGGGAGTTTGAAACCAGCCTGGCCAACATGGCAAAACCCCGTCTCTACTTAAAATACAAAATTAGCTGGGCATGGTGGTGCATGCCTGTAATCCCAGCTACTCGGGAGGCTGAGGCAGGAGAATTGCTTGAACCTGGGAGGTGGCGGTTGTAGTGAGACAAGATTGTGCCACTGTACTCCAGCCTGGGCAACAAGAGCAAAAACTCCATCTCAAATAATAATAATAATAATAATAATAATATTCTATCTTATCCCTCAGAGTCTGGCGAGTTCTAGCTCAGTTCTTGCTTCCTAAGTATGTTTTCCTTCTTAATGTTCTCTTTTTCCTGACTACCTTGTCAGTTGTGGGTAAACTGATGGAATTTACTTTCTAAATCTGAAATGCTGTGGAACTGACCTGATCCCACAATAGCCTGTGTTCCACTAGCCCACAGTACCTATCACATTGCCCTGGAATTGCCTTCTTATATGTCTGTCTCTCACTGGGCTGTTGGCTTTTTAAAGACAGAGAGCCTGGTTTATCCACCAGTATGTCCGTAGCGTGGTGCCAGAGTCCTTAATCAGTTGTTCAATGTCACTCTGACAGCCCAGGCTAGAATAACCAGAGCTCCCTCTTTAATACCTTGCAGTCTTTGATGTCAAATGAGTTACAAAATCTTGTGAAGGCAGCCTCTGCACTGTCCCTTACAAATCATTTTAGGAGTTTTACTAGTTATGAAAAGCTGTGTAATAAAAGCTGTATTACTGCCCAGCGTCTCCCAACGAGGTAGATTCTTTTATCAGAAGATAACTGCAAAACACTAATCCCAGCTAAATTAAACCCCAGCTTTCTCCAAGTATTTAAAATAATCTCAGTTTAGGTTAGCACTGAAACTGATACAGCTTTAAGAAAACTAAGGAAGAAACATCGGAAGTCTGCTCCAAGGGATCTTATTTCTTTTACTTTAGCCTTCAAATACCCTTGTGGAATTTAAAAACAGTAAACACCATTCTCCTTAACGTTCTGACTAAACGTTAACTAAAAGGCAAAGGCCAAAAAGGCCAACCCATTTGATAATGTCTTGATAGCAGAGTATATGGCAGGCAATTTTTGTTCATGAAAAAAACAACTGCATTTGTTCCTGTCTTACTTTGATCTTTTTTTTAAAACAGCTTTATTGAGACAAAATTCACGTAGCATAAAGTTCACCCTTTTATAGAGTACAATTCCGTGGTTTTTAGTATATTCACAGAGTTGTGCATCTATCATGGCTATCGAATTCCAGAACATTTTGTCATCCCCCAAAGAAGCCCTGTACCCATTATCAGACACTGCCTTTATCCCCTCTCCCCTTCCCAGACCCTGGCAACCACTAACCTACTTTCTTTCTATTAAACTGCCTATTCTGGGCTGTTATAGTTTGAATATTTGATGCTCTAAGCCTCATGTTGAAGTTTGATACCCAATGTTGGAGGTGGGGCCTAATTTAGGAGGTGTTTGGGTCATGAGGGTAGATCCCTCATGAAAGGCTTGGTGCTCTCCTTGAGGTAATGAGTGAGATCTTGTTCTACTAGATCCAAGAGAGGTGGCTGTTAAAAAGAGCCTCCCATCTCTACACACAATTGAAAGCAGCCTGCAGCCCTTATGAGAGGCAGATGGTGGTGCCACACTTCTTGTACAGCCTGTAGAACTGTGAGCCAAATAAGCCTCTTTCCTTTACAAATATCTGGGTTCAGCTATTCCTTTATAACAGTATAATCAGACTAAGACACTGGCATAAAAGAGTGTGTGGCCTTTTGTGTCTGGCTTCTTTGTGACATGTTTTTA